CTTAATAAGATTGCTACTTAAAAGTGTTTTGATTGGGGCTTAACTGACTACAATCACTTATAGTACTGTGGATTTCATAGTTGGACTTAATTAAATGTAACTTTTGTTTGTTCATAAACACAGCAGGAGCTTTAAGGCCAAATTAGCCCTGCCTATGCTATTTTTCTGTATGAAATTAGGCCTATATATGCTATTTTAAACTATTTTTGAAGTGGAAACCTGTCATCGATTTTGACTTTTTTCCACAAAGTTCTTTTTGTTTAGTTTCCTTTAACCTTTCTCCTGGGGGGAGCAATTATCAAAATAGATGCCAACTGTGATGGGTGAAGGGACTAACAATAGTTGAGTGCAGAAAACCATATTGGAATGAATTAAGATGATTTGACAAAAGCCACACTGAAAGACACTGTTTCCTTAAGAATGACTGGGTATAAATAGGAAAATATTTATCTCCTGAATACAACCACATGTTGTAGGAACATTTATGGTTGAACCACATTCACTGTGGCCAGAAGAGAGATGCGTGCTCTAGGTCAGACTTGACAGTGGCATTTCCATATAGAAATTCTCACTACCATTGCTATGCCAGTCAACCATGTCAACTCATTGTAAGGTAAACTTTGGCTTGCAGGTTGTCTTGGACCCAGAATAAAGCATGTACCCTCTTATAGTAAAATGGTTGCCACTGACTTGAGAGGTTGAAAATCCAAATGATTCTGTCACTCTCAGAGAGTGAGCTCAGACCTGATATTGCTGAAAACAGTCCACTCTGAAGGTTAAAACTCACATTGTGGTTATTCCTTCCCTTCAATAGATGCTTTGAGGCATCTGAAGGGTTGATATAAGCTGTTCCTTTTCCTTAAGTGAAGAAGTGTCTTTTCTACATGAAGCAAGCAGAGGTGAACTGGATGGAGACCTGTCATACTGATGCCTCATACTTCACTATATAGTGAGGACTTTTGTCACATATATATATTTAAAGCAAATATATAATATATATATGAAATTCAATTATAACATAACCTAGAGACTATTGTGAAAAGCAAACTTTGTTGCCCCAGATGGAGTATTTTTAAAAAATCATAAAATCCATGAACATGATTGACACCAAAGTTATACAAGATCTGAATTTCCAGAGAGGATTAGTATGCAAATACAGTCCATATTTAAGGTGGTTTCACAGTCATGATTGACAGAAGTGGCCAACAAAAAATTCGGTCCTATCAGTGCTGTCTAATAGCTCAACATAAAACAGTCCTTCAGTGGGATCAGCAATATCAGCATAGTTGCAGCAGGCAGCAACTCCTTTTTATTTTTAAAGCAAGTATATAATCCAATAAATGCTTTTATGTATGTTGCCACAATTATTTCAATTGGACAGAGATTGTCTTCAGTTTACACAGTTTCCATTTTAAGGACGTCTTCTATAATTGAAAAACAACAGATATTTGCCTTGAACCTTTTGAAATTCCCTGTTCTAAGACTATAGCACAGATGAACAAAGCATAAGAGCTGTAAAGTTAACAGGACTGCCACTGCATTGCTATCTCAGGTATACAAATGAAGTCACATTCTCTGCTAATGGAGCCACAATGAAGGGAAATATCTTCCTGGGTAATTTCATGAAATGAGGATATATCCCAGTAGTAAAGGATTAACAAAAGTGGAGTGTCTTCAAATGCAAATTTCCTGACATTTCACAGCTCCTAAAATAATTACCTTTCCTTGGTGAACTAATAATAACTTAGTTAAACTTTTCATTTAGTATAACCAACTGTAATGCAAAAGGAACATACTCTGATAAATAGTTCCATTTTAGGTTGGATTTTCTCTCGTCTCTTTCTCCCACACATAATGATGTCATAAAAAATTAGATGAAATTATTTATGAGAAATGGAATGGTTATAGCATAAAGTAGTGCTTTGCAAATGAAATCCATTGGCACCCCCATTATGAATACTGAAAAGAGGAGCCTTGGTATCTTGATGAAGTAATTGTTCTTTGAATTTCTTGAACTGTCTTTTATCACACTAGATTTTTTTTTTAAATGAACATTTAAAAAACAAAGCTATTTCACTTTTATGTATCTATGCAAAAACTGCATTCAGACTCTGCAAAGATTACAGGAAATCTTTTGAAATATTAGCATGTCTATGAATTTTTTAAATGATCTATTTAGCATAAATTTTGGTAAATGGTAAGCATTCTGTGGAATCAAGTTGGGAAAAATGACTTAAAGGCATAGAAAACTTTGAGAAGTAATTTGACAATATGAATCAAATACCATAAAACTGTATTACTTCGTTCCAGTTATTATTTATTATTTTAAATTTTATATATTTTTTACATCATTTTTAATTTTTGCCCAATGTATGCATTTTCATCTTGTTTATAGTCCCCATATAATCCCCCCCCTTATTTTGATCCTACTCCCTCCTCCCTACCCTGTAGTGGTCTCTGGTTTATAGTTGCTTATTGATATTGATTTTTACTTTATTATAATTAATCTTTTTCCTGGTCCCTGCACCCCTATGTTTATAGTAACACTATATACAATAGCTAAGCTATGGAAACTACTCAAATGCCCAAAAATAGATGACTGGATCAAGAAGATGTGGTACATATACACAATGGAATATTACTCAGCAATCAAAAAAGATAAACTCATGCAATTTGCAACAACATGGATGGAGCTGGAAGGGATGATGCTCAGTGAAATAAGTCAGAAAGAAAAAGAAAAATACCAGATGGTCTCACTCATAGCAGGAATTTAGAAAACCTAAATATTATTATTTAAAAAAATATTTATGCATATATGAACTGGGGTGTAAGTCAGAGGCGTGGGGAGGTGAGAGGATTCACCAGATAGAGTGAGTAGAACAGGAAGATTGACTGAATTACACTGCTGAGGGGAACAGCGGGTGAGGCAGGAGAGGTCTGCTGCGCCATGTGCGTTTCTCCCTATCTGGCCAGGGATCGAATTCTTGCTGCAGTGGTTGGAGATAGCTTGATAGTGCTGTCTTTAAGCCTGGGCCATCAGGGAGGCCCTGTCCCAATTATTTTACTTCAGTGAAATTATGCTAAGATTTGTAAATACTGGTAGAGACTTAATTGCAAAGATGTTCATTGCATTCTTATTAATAATAACAAAATAAGTAGAAACAATTCTCTTTTGTTGTCTATTTGGATAAAGCTTATCATGATATACCATTTGAAAGGAACATTATGCAGTCAACAAAGTGATGCTTATCAAAACTAGGTAGCAATATAGAACACTGATGTAATTTGATAAAAATACAAACACCTATCAGAAATTATTTGCAGTAGAAATACAATCATGTAAAAATTAAATAAGCATACATCGGAAAAAGGCTTTGGAAACATAACAAGTTGCTAGCATAAGCTATGTTTAGATGGAAGTACAGTGATAATTTTTTCATATCTTTTTGATTTTTTAAATAGTCTCTAACTTTTAAAGAAGAAACCTTAAACACCTGGTTGTTACATTAACAACTTAGTTGTATTGGATTGAATTCTTTCTTTTCTCTCCTAAAACTATTTTCTATATAAATATATTCATGATGGCTAATTATTCACAAATGGAAAACCAGTATGGCTGAAGTACATAAACTTTAATTAATGTAGACCTCATAAATCAAAGGTTAACAGAAATTCATAAATCTCAGATTCTTATAGAATAAAAAGTTCCAGACAATAAACATGTTTTTTGTATTGTCATGCATTTGGCATATTATCTCATAGAAACGGGCATATAACAAATTGCAGCTATTTGGTGAGCTTATTTCATTTAAATTTGTATATATAATTATGTTGATATATATATATGAGAATAGACGAGCAAAACTAGCTAGCATAATTAATTGAAAAAAAACCTATTTGATTTGCTCAGTTAAATTTGTAAAACAAATACCATTTTGCTTCAGAATACTTTGATAGTCCATCATTTGTTATAAAAGTGTTTTTTATAAATGTAAACATTTTTTTATAAATGTAAAAAATGTAAAAAAATTTTACATTTTATAAATGTAAAAAATGTTTTTTATAAATGTAAACATTTACATATAAATGACAATTGAAAGGAAAGGCATATTTTTGCTTCATTCCCTATCATTTATAGGTAGCAACACATGGATTTTTATATCATCTTTTCTAGAAATTTCTTTTTTCCAAATGCAACCACTAAAGTTACGTATAAGATAACTGCTAGAATCATTTATTTTAATAACTTAGTAATGCAATAGCTATTTGCTTTAATTTTCTATAAACATTTTCAAACCAATGTGTCCATTAAAATATTTACTTATCTAAAGTATCCTATCTTTAAGGAATAACTGAACATTATTTCAAAAGTCCTAAAATGATTGCGCATAAAAATAAAAAAAAGTGAAGCTGTCTTCAATAGGTATTTCCATAATACATTACCCTTTTGCCTGTTTTGTGGCTTGCTTTAAATACAGATTCAGTTGAAAATTTGCCACAAGAAGATGTATTACCTAGATTTTTATGCAACAACTTAAAAAACAACCAAGTTTCTGAGTTGGTTGCGATGAACTCTGAAGCACATTTGCTATTTTCGAAGGTAAGAAGTACATTTTTTGTCTTATGAATGAGAAAATACTAATTTCATGTTGTAGATTTTGTCAATTTAAGGGACAAATGGAATTAAATAGTCCTGTTAATGTTATTGATATTAATGATACAAATTTGTATTTAATGTCTTATAAGAGCAAATAGGATACATTCATCTCTCCTATTTTGTTAACATAAATTGCACTTAAGATTATGTATTAAATATTCAATCAAATGAAATCATTTCTGACAATCATTTAATCAACTAACAAATCAATATTTAATCAGGGACCTATTAGAGAATAGCCCTCTGAGAACTAGTGACCATAATGATTTTGAATGTTCACCTTGGTAAATAGATTTTATATGTAAGAAATAAAAAAAAAACAGGCAAATATTTAATAACTTACCTTTGGTTCCTTGAACTTGGAGAAAAATCCAGAAAACAAAAATAGCCTTTCTAGTTTCCAAATTCATTCTGGCTTTTATGCATTAGTAATTCTGGTAATAATCACAGAACAGTCCCAAATCTCATTAAAAAAGTGAAGTAACAGAAATATGAAAAATAATTAAATATGGATGCCAGCTGGATGAGGATAACCTTCTTGGTTTACCTTTCTAGGGTGCTAATTTATGAAGAACATGTAGCAGTGTCTGTTTCTGGAATAATCTTCTTATCTTCCCCTCAGGTGTAATCTCTGCTTAAGGGCCAGCTGGAGGAACCTTTATCTCATTAACCTTCTGCAGGAGCATCTGTCAGCCCAGCTCCAGGACCCTGAATACCATTATAAACAAATGGCCTCAGACAGCAGTGATGCCTTTTTTCTTAGTTATTCACCTGTTACAGTGACACAGAGAGCCAGGGGAAGTTCTGCCAAATGCAGAAGAAGGCTGACAGTTAGGGTCAAATGTTTTCTAAAATGACATGCACAAGGAACATCCTCTGAAAGAGCTTAATTGCTACCCCTGGAAGTATGCTGTATTCAAAATATGTTCAGTCTCCAGAGACAGCAAAACTATCTCCACTCTTGTCGAAATGTACTGATTTGTGAATCACATTTTGGAATTACATGCATATGACTATTTGTTTGTTTTAACCCTGATTTTAATTTTATTGATTTGTTATTCATGCACAGAATTTAAAGAGTCAAATGCTTCTACACTGTGTATGAAAAAATGATGTTGTCCTGCCTCCTTTCAAAGATAACTACTTTTAGTGCTTTAAGGCAATTCTGCTATTCTCATTCATACCTGTATATAATTGTGTATGTATGTGTGAACGTATCCATTGCTACCTGATTTTTTTTACTTTTAGGAAAAAGTAAAAATGGATATTGACAATATTTTACCTGTCACACACACACACACACACACACACACACACACACTGTTTCTTTTCTCTATAAAAACGTACTTCTTTCATCCTTTCCTCCTTCTGCCTCAGTAATGTTGTATTTTCAGTTTACTAAATTTTAAACTTTATATTATTGGGACTGTTTACATGAAAGTGAGATGTAGAATGTTATACTGTAATTAAGAATATGTATTGAGCTCTTTGTTATGATAGATACTATTCTTAGAGATTTTCATAGATCATCTCTGTTTTCTTCAACATTGTAAGGTAGGCACTATTATGATTTTCTGTTTAACATTTGAGGAATGGAAGGTATATGTGCCAGAACCAAGATATGAATCTAAAGAGTTTGGTTCAAGAACCTGTACTCTTAGCTAATACCCACTACGGTATCTTAACAATTGTCTCATTCCTCTCCTTCGTTTTCTGTATAGAAACAATCCATTATTCCCAATGTCCTTCCAGATAAATAAATTTCCTCCCCATGTGGTTCAAAACTGCAGATAAGCTATCTTTCCCAGGGCTTTCTAACACTCTCTAGTATATATTGTTTGATTTCTTGTTACCATTCACAGCAATCATCTGGGGGTCTGTGGCAGGGGGTCATCAAGAGGATGTGACCACAGGTTGGCTTTTGAGCTGGACTTGGGCAGTCAGGCCCCTCATTCTGTCCTTTGTCCCTGAAATGCATGTCCTACCACCATTCCCTCAGTGGGAACTATTTTCTAGGATGCAGTCTTGAGAGAGTTACTGAGACCATCTGGAGAGGATATGTGACTGAACTCCATTAAAGCTTCTACATAAACTTTAAAGATCCTGGCAGGCAGGTGTGGAGATTTACTCACCTCTGTGGCTGCCCTCACCTCCGCAAGTCTCCTATGTAAGTTCCCTTGCTTATTAAAATGGGCATCTACCAAACTGGACTGATTTGCCTTTTTTTTTTTTTGGTCCCTCCTTGTACTCTATGGGTGGGCAGTTTAGAATTTTACCCAGGAATTCATGAAGTTATGAGTGCATGGAAACTCCCTTCACAATTATCCTGAGGATTTCTTACATTTGTCTATTTTGGAGCCTGTATTTTCTGAATGCCACATTGCTTTCTTCATTTTTTTTTTTTTTTTTGGTATCATAGCCAAAAATCATTGCTGAAACCAATGTCAAGGAGTTTTCCCCATGTTTTCATCTAGGAATATTATAGTTCAAGGTCTTACCTTAAGTCTTTAATCTAATTCCAGTTAAAGTAGAGTGGTGCAAGATAGGGATAGTTTAATTCTTTTGCATGTAAATATTCAAATTTCCCAGCACTATTTATTAAAGAGACCATTTCCCCTCATTGAGTATTTTTGGCTCCTTTTAAAAATATTAGTTGACTGTAGATGTGTGAGTTTATTTCTGGGTTCTGGATAACACCAATGGAAAATAAATACTAATGAATCCATATTGAGATAAATAAATTACTGAATAAATTAATGGATGGGGGAGAAGAATTCCAAATAACTTAGGTAGTTATTCTCCCCTCAGTATGGTGGGGCATAATTCCTACTCTTCAGTGAGACCTATAGGTAGTGACTTCCTTCACAAGGGGAAGAAAAGAAACAAGGTTCAGTGGAGATCAAGGCCACACATGACCTTGATCACAAGGCTATCCTTCACATAGCCCCAGTCCTATCATGAGAAACACCAGACAAATCTCAGTTGAAGGCATTCTACAAAATACCTGGCCGTTATACATCAAAACTGTCAGTTATTACAAACAAGAAAAATCTGAGAAAATGTCATAGTGAAGAGGAACCGAAGGAGACCTGTTGACTTACTGTAATGTGGTGTCCTGGATGGGATCTTAGAGCAGAAAAAGGACATGAGGTTAAAAAAATACCACTAAGAAAGTCCAAATAAAGTATGGGCTTTAGTTAATGATAATATATCATTATTGGTTCACTAAAGGCAACGAACATACCATAATGATAGAAGGTGTTAATCCTAGGGAAATTGTGTGCAGGACATGTGGGAATACTCAACTATATAATTGTTCTGTAAGTTTAATTTTTTCTAAAATAAAAGTTTACTAAAACACAAATATATGTTTGTAGAAAAATTTGAAGTCCAGGATTTTTTATTCCAGAGAGGATTTCCCTTTGCTTCTTCTAAGCCTTGGGGATTACTAGCAATTTAAAATAAACTTAATCAAATTTTGGAGTTTGGTGATTTTCTCAACCATGCAGATGATTCAAAATGTGCTGTACACCTTGATGGAAGTATAGGTTATCTGCGTTCACCTTTTTTCCTAGGATGAAATTCTTCGGTATTTGTCAGGGTTTTGTCATGGACTAGACTCCAGCTTTTGTCCCCTTGCTATTAAGCACTGTTCATCCTCTATCTACCTTACAGATCAGCAATTGTTCCTGGGCAAAAATGGTACCCAAAGCTAGGTTGACTTGTCCTGATTCTGACCTCTTGACAATCTTCCTTCTGACTATGCTTCACTATTATTTTCTTTAACTTCATTTCCTTCTACCAGATGATTTTATATTTCATCCAGTTTTCCTTTATTTTATCAGGAGGTTTGGTTCAAATGATCTAATTGCTTTATCTACCCAAAAAATTCTAAAACTTCATTACTGCGCTCTCCTTTCTTGAGGTGTTTATTATTACTGCTTCATACTTAAAAAATTCCTTTGATATTTTCTTGTGGTCTCAAGTGGTAGCAGGTGTAATGAATTTTCAGCTCTTTTTTTAACTAGATTTTGTGTGTGTGTTATCTAAGAAAATTAGAATCATCAAATTAATGTATAATCTTACTTAGAATAGTGTATCTGAAAATGAGAAATGAACTATATGAAAGATGAATCTTCTGCTAAAAAACCACATCTAAGAAAATTGATGAGGACTCAATAGTAGATACATAAAAATGTATAAATTTGTATATAAATATTTCTATTATATATTCATTTGGGTTGCAAAGTTAGTATACTTTGCTGTATATCTCCATCTTATACTTATGTTTTTAATCACTGCTTTTTCTCTAGAAGAGTAAGCAACAGCTTCAAGTTATGAAAACAATTTTCACTTAATTGCCTCCTTACTAAAATATGTTACTTAAAGGAAAATGTGGTATAGACCCTTTGAGTTGTTAAAAATGTTCTACAGCAAATATATGAGTAAAAGATATTGGATTTATATTAAGATATATTAAGATGACAAATATTTAAGAGACTCTCTTGACAACACTACCTAATTCATTTTTTTCATTTTTAATTAAAATCTCGGTAACTAATGTTGATAACTACCATTCAGGCAGCAAACAAGAATGATAAACACTCATTATTCCTGAAACAATGCTTCCTGGGACCATCAGGTCTTTCTCTAAGTACTGTTGCATTTAATTATGGGTCACTGTTAATTAATTCAGAAGTGTTTCTTCAAACCGGTTGACTGTCAACAATAATTATATATTCTTAAAGAGGTAAGCGCTCCTCTTAATTTTCTGGCAGAATTTCAGTGGTGCATTTAAAATGTACAAGGAAGGGTGGAAAGGGCAATATGTTTTTGTGATGTATTCCTTCATGTAAAATCAGTAGAAATGAGAAGTGGGTGCTAAAATGAACCAGTTAATGTCATAAAGAAATGATTCAATTTGTCAATCTAAAGAAATACTTTTTTTGCATTCCTAATGAATACCAAATTTTCAATTTGGTACTTTATATGCATAGGTGACATCTTCCCAGCACCCCATAAGTTTAAATATAATTTTTATTTCTGTTTCACAGGTAAGAAATTGAAACTCAGTGATGGAAAGTATATTTCCCGGTTACACAACTAATAAATGTAAAGCAGGGTCTTCAAACTAGATCTCTCTGATTACACTGTCTTTCCCTACACATTGCATCTTATAATTTGGACATTGTGAGTAAGGTGAGTACATTGGAATCTGGAGAATTTCCCTCTCTGGAGTCATGTGTTCTTTCTTTGGTAGAAGGAGTTCTTTCTGCTTAGTATCCCAGGATTCTTTTTGCTCAATTGTTGGTTGTTGGATTGTCTCAGCAATTCAGAGCAGCAAAATGGATTCTTGAGGTTATTTTAATCACCATCAAAATTTGTGACTAACCAAGGGAGGCTGAGTCAT